CATTTGGAACAAGCTCATAACAAAGCAAGTTTTGTGAAGAGTCACGACTGCTATAGTAACCTACAAGTTTCACAAAATTGCAACGAAGCAATATGCTAAGCATCCCAACTTCAACTAAAACTCTGCCCTCCCCAAGCGTGCTTGCAGGTGCAAAGTTGTTTGTTGCTTCTTTGAGCTCTTCATATTGTAGAAACCGAGTGCTGCTTGGGCGGGGAAGAGACCATGTTTGTGCAACCGTATCTGCAGTCTTTGGTTTTACTGCAAGAAAAGAAAAACCTAAGCACTCCGCAAGACTGAATTAAAACCAGTAATGCAGAATCAATCAACATTCTTGTTACAAGGTTTTACAAGATGCACAAAATCACACAACTCAAGCTTTAGTTATTAGCTAACCAAAAAGAAAATCATAGTCATTGTGGTTAAACATACCAGGTTGTTGAGGAGATGCTTCTGCATTCCCCCACGAAATGCACAAGAACAAATTATAAGAACGGATATTATAGCTAACCGAAAAGAAAATCATAGTCATTGTGGTTAAACATTTTCGTAACTGGCATTGCTGATGAGAGAAAATGCAAGAATAAATACATCAGCCCCACGATAGCTCAGTGGCCTTGCTGAAGCAATATCCCACATTGGGGAAGTACATGAGTGGACCACTTATTTGACATTATAAATAAAAGGCAGCTACCTCATTTCAACATACTTACCTGGACTGGGTCAATCGAGCTTCAATCGAGCTCAAAATTGAGCTTCAATCGAGCTCGAGTCAAGCTTTATTCGAGCTGATGAAATTTTTTTGAGTTCGAGTTTTTTCGAGTTCGAGTCGAGTTTCATTATTATATTTCGAGTTCGAGCTGAGCTTGATAATTTTAAGCTTGCGAGTTTTTGAGTCAAGTCGAGCTTGCTTTTAAAGTTTTTGACTTCGAGTCGAGCTCGACAATACTCGAGCTCGACTTGGCTCGTTTACACCCCTAGAAAGAACAATGGAAGGTAGGGTCTCCAACATTTATGTTCATTTATGTTCGTGTTCATTTATGTTCGTGTTCGTTTATGTTCGTGTTCGTTTATATTCGTTTATTTATTAAATGAACGAACATGAACAAGTTATATTCCTTAATAAACGAACATGAACAAAAAAAATTGTTCGTTTATGTTCGTGTTCGTTTATGTTCATTTATTTATTAAATGAACGAACATGAACAAGTTATATTCCTTAATAAACGAACATGAGCAAAAAAAAATTTGTTCGTTTATGTTCGTGTTCGTTTATGTTCGTTTATTTATTAAATGAACGAACATGAACATACCTCCGTTCGTGTGCGTTCGGTTCGTTTACAGGCCTATACCTAAGTGTACAGGGAAGTGGTGACGGTGGGGAAACAAGTTGTTGGACTGGCTGTAGCAATGGTGGGGATACCAGTGTGCCATACAGGAGATGACAATGCCACAATACTTCAATTCTGCAGTATTATAGAGATATTGAGTGTTGGTTTTCTTCTCCATTTTGGTATGATTGTAAGTGTTTGATATTAGATAGGAATAAAATGGGTTTTTTCGTCCCTTTTGTTTGAGATGTGCTGTAAAAGAATTTGACAATGCTTACATGCTATTGTTTTTATATGTTAGGTTAATCTTATTAGTTGTGGCAACCCTTATTATTTCAATGAAAATGTTATTATAAATAGTTTTAAGATGATAACACATGTTATTGTTTAGAGGAATATTTAACATTGTTTTTTAGATTAAATTTGAGACAACTATCCTTCTTTCCTACAAAGAAAATAATGTAATAATTTTTATTGAGCTCCTGCCACAACTTTCTTCTCTTCAAAAGGATCAATGAAAACTTGTAGGACGCAAATGATGGATTATACCAAACTTGAAATATGGGGGGAGACATTGTTTTGGAAGTCCACCTCGATGACATAATGTATCAATGAAAATATCTAATTTAAATGATCGTCGATTTTTTAATAGAAAATAACGAGTTAAAAATATATAAATAATCAAATGATTATTTTATAACTTTTAATAGTTAATGACAACAAAACACTACTCTATAGTCAAGGAAAATTTTAATAGTCGATAGATTTAATAAAGTAGTAACCTATGGTCAATATATTATTTACGTACTTTACCTAATAATTATAATAATAATCGAAACACCATAGGGAGCTTGCCGTGTAATTTTCCATTATACGGACTAGCAGTTAAAAAGAAAAGGACGCGCACAAAGTGGGAAGAAAAATAGAATACCCAAGGTCATCTCTCGCTGTCGCAGCACTCTTTTCGGCTACCGTATTCCTCTTCAACGATCTTTCCCTTCCGCCGCAAGAAAGGGCCACGTGCCGCCATTCTTTCTATTTATATTCATACAAACATACGTGTGAATTCACGTGTGCACATAAAATTTTCATGTCACAATAACTTGAACGGAACAAATCTAGTAAAACCCTCCCGCAAAAGTAATGTACGGTGGCTCCTCGAAGCTCGGTCGTGGTGGACGGGCGGACGTGGGAGCGGAGGCCTTAGGAACCGCTCTTCATTTCCCCCGCCGCCACACCGCCCTCCTTCCGCCACCCAATCAGGTAGGCTTCCCCTTGGCTCCGCCTCTCGTAACCGCCCCGGTATTGGGGGTGGTTCAGGACCTGCACCGTCTATCGAAGAGAGCTTTTCGCTTGTTTATGGGAATAATCCGTTGGCTTTCGCGATGATTATAAGGTTGGCGCCAGATTTGGTGGAGGAGATCAGGCGGCTCGAGGCTCAAGGAGAGACGGCCAGGATTAAGTTTGATTCAATTCCGACTCACCCTACTGGGAATGTGAGGTTTTTAAACAAGAATTAAGTTGTGCTTGGTCATTTTTAAAAAAAAGTTATTGCTATTTATTTCGAATTGTGTTTTTTCCTTGGAGTTGGAATTTTTTTTAGAACAAGAATTAAGCTTGATTTGAGTTCATCTGGGTTAAGCCTAGTTTTTATTTTCTTAAACCGTACTTCTAATTTTCGATGATATAGGGGGATAAAAATAAAAAAAATTGAGCCGATTTATCTTAAATTTTCTTATTTTTGAACCGTTTACAATGTTTGTTTTAACATTTTGGAATTTCAGTTTATGTTTTTCTTTTTCATTTTAGGGTTATATTTTACTAGCTATATTTTGGTCCTCTGAATTTTGCTTTGGGTGTAACTATGTCAACTTTGTGTGGTCGTACTTTTAAGTTCTTGCTTTGGGTATAACTATGTCAATTTTACTTGTTTCAACCTATTTTAGCTTCAAATTGGGTGACTTTATGGGGTAAGTTGCGAGTTCTGTTATGGTGATTGTAAGTCACATTCTGTTATTTTATATAGGTTCATTGTGGTGGTTTACTGGAAGATGTTTAGGTACATTGTATGATTCTGCTGAGTTTGCTTGTTCTTTTATCGTTGAGTATGTAGTATTTTTTTCTTGATTCTGGACTTCTAGTAGGCTAATGGGGAGTTGGGTCTACTTGGTTTGCGTAATTCTTACAATGTCTTGAGTCCAGTGTGCCATGATATTTTTTCCTCAAATGTGTATGTATTCAATCTTATTATACTTTCATCGTTGGTTAATTTTTAGTCAACGTTTACAATGTTTGTTTTAACATTTTGGAATTTCAGTTTATGTTTTTCTTTTTCATTTTAGGGTTATATTTTACTAGCTATATTTTGGTCCTCTGAATTTTGCTTTGGGTGTAACTATGTCAACTTTGTGTGGTCGTACTTTTAAGTTCTTGCTTTGGGTATAACTATGTCAATTTTGCTTGTTTCAACCTATTTTAGCTCCAAATTGGGTGACTTTATGGGGTAACTTTATGGGGTAAGTTGCGAGTTATGTTATGGTGATTGTAAGTCACATTCTGTTATTTTATATAGGTTCATTGTGGTGGTTTACTGGAAGATGTTTAAGTACATTGTATGATTCTACTGAGTTTGCTTGTTCTTTTATCGCTGAGTATGTAGTATTTTTTTCTTGATTCTGGACTTCTAGTAGGCTAATGGGGAGTTGGGTCTACTTGGTTTGCGTAATTCTTACAATATCTTGAGTCCAGTGTGCCATGATATTTTTTCCTCAAATGTGTATGTATTCAATCTTATTATACTTTCATTGTTGGTTAATTTTTAGTATATGACTATTTAGCTTTCATTTCTAAAATTTGTGATTCTTTCTTGGAATACGATATTAATTTTCAAGTATTTGTGCACATGATGTAATAAGGGTCACTTTAGGTAAGAGCAGTTATAAAACATGGAAGTTCATGGACCAAAACCTCTAAAAAAATATGCATTTGCAGAAAAAGAAAGCTAAACTGGCCAACTTGTTTAAAATGATGGGGCTATCTCTATCTGCCAATGTTGGTGTTTCTGGCGTATATTCAAAAGGTTGTATTATTTACATATCCAGTTTGATGGTAAATAAGTCCTGCATATCATTGCACAAGGATTTAGTGCAGGATGGATTAAATTTGATTTTGATGCATTATGTTTTCTGTGGTACCTTTGTCACTCTATTTTTGTAGACCACATCAGTGGTTTCTACTTATTTTGGGTGGTTTTAAAATTATGCAGAAAATTCTCATGATTTATTAATGACCTTTATGGGATGATAGATAGTTAATTAATTTGACTAGGGAAAATTGGTTAAAGCCTCAGAGTTTTGTTAATTTTCTTTGAGATGTTATGCTAATAATTTTGATTTCATGTTGTATCCTTGGTTTAATGACTTGGACTACAGAAAACTGGTTTAGGCCTGAGAGTTTTGTTCTTTTTTTTCCTGAGATGTTGCTACACTAAAGTATTGATTTGATGTTCTATTCTTATTTTGAACTAATGATTGTTCCCATTATTTGTTGAGACTTTTGGAGGCAGAACTTGCAAGTTTCTTTTTGGTGTTTGGTTCTTTTTTGGTTAAACTTACATTTTTGTATGGTCTGTTAATTATTTTTTTTTGATAAGAATGACAGGCCTCCTTAAAAACCTCCTTCTTGATTAAAGAAGGAGGAAAAAAGTGCCTTAGAAACTTTATTACTCCTCCGAAATTACATAAGATTTAACATAAACACCATACTGAAAAAACGAAACAGACTAAGCTACTCAACAGACAACCAAAAACCTAAAACTCAAACGATACAACGCATTGGAAACGACTAAACATCAACCAATTCCCATCTTTGCTAAACTATCAGCCTCCCCATTACATACCCTTGGAATCAATCTAATTGAGTGCACCCTGTCCGAGATTAAAGATGAAATCTCTTTAACTAATGGGAGGATAAAAACAGGGGCCAAAGCTGGGTATGGACCCATTCCACAGCCGACTTACAGTCACTTTCCACAATCAACCTTCCAACATTAACCCAACAAGAAGACATATAGATTTCAATGCCTCTCTTAATAGCCTTTAACTCAGCAACCGGCGGGGGACCCTGGCCTACATTTTCTGAAAAAGTCAGAAGGGAGTTGCTATTCCAGTCTCTCAAAATACCTCCTATACCTCCATTTGAGCCATCAAGTCTAACAGCTCCATCGACATTCGTCTTCAAAAAATCCATAGGGGGTGGAATCCAGCGAGAAACCTAAAAATTGTTAAGGTTGAGAGCTTTAATACCATCTGCAAGAGATGGATCACCAATCAACACATCCTCCTGAATAGGAAACTTAGGATACTTGGCTAGAAACCATTTAGATAACCTGAATCTAGCAATAAAAAACAGAGACATCCTATCCAAGGGGGAACCTTCGAACACCATCGCATTCCTAGCTTTCCAAATCGACCAAAATACTACTCCCGGGATAAATTTCCAAATCAACGATTTCCCCCTCAGCTCACCCCAAGAACATAGCAAAGAAGGTGGATCCTTTGGAAGGACTAAGGCTATATCCCAAAAGCTTGCTATCTTGTTCCAAAGTTCCCAAACAACATCACACGAAATAAATAAATGCTGAACTGATTCCACCTGTTTTTTACAAAACGGACATAGAATTTCATCCCCTAGCTGCAAACCTCTTTTCACCAACTCCTCTCTCACTGCCACTTTCTGATGAGCTAGCTGCCACAGGAAGACTTCAACACGAGGAGGAGATAAACCCTGCCACACCCCTTTTACCCATAAATCGGACCCCCCAGACACCTTGCCGAGTTCCTTTCTACAAGATTTCACTGAAAACAGTCCATCCCCGCTTGCAGACCAAGAAAGAAAGTCTTCAACTGAATCAGTCAGTTTAAAATCCTTCAGTTTTGTCATTAAATCCAGCCACTGATCCAACTCCCAGTCACACAAATTCCTTCTGGTTTCGATGTTCCACACCCAACCGTTCAAATCTGAACTTCCAAACTCAGCGACCATACCCCATTTATTTGTAGACAACACATACATTCTAGGGAAAAGATTTTTTAAAGGAGACTCATCAGCCCATGAATCCGTCCAAAATGCAATAGACTTTCCATTTCCCAGTTTCAACTGGGAGTTTGATCTGATATGTTCACCCTCCGAGTCGCTCTTCAGGAAATTATTGGCAATCCCTCTCTAAATCCAAGAAGATTTGGGTGAAAAAACCTTGCTAATAGACATGGAATTACTACTTACCTTGTGCATGCAACATAACACACTTTTCCACAAGGTATTTTTTTTCATTGGCGAACTTCCACACCCATTTTCCCAAAAGAGCCCGATTAGATAGGTTCACATCAAGAACACCAAGGCCACCAGATTTTAGAGGCTTGCAGACTGATTTCCAATTAACCCAGTGTATCTTCCCTTTTTCCTCATTATCCCCCCATAGGAAACTGACCATTAATGAATTGAGCTTCTTACCAATTTTACAAGGTATTCTAAAAAGAGATAAGAAGAATATTGGTAGGGATGTTAACACCGACTTCAATAAAACTGTCCTGCCAGCCAATGAGAGACAATTAGCTTTCCATCCGGCTAGTTTGGAACTAAAATTCTTGAAAACTAGATCCCATAAGGCTTCTGAGTTTTTCTTAGCACCTAGAGGAAGTCCCAAGTAATCTGTTGGAAGGGAATCAATAGAACAGCCCACCGAAGATGCCCATTCTGATAAAACTTCCTCTTCCACATTAATACCAAATAGCTTACTCTTAGCTAGATTAAGATGCAATCCTGTCATAACACTAAAAATCCTCAATACTCTCTTGACATTTTTAATCTGGGAGAGAGATGCTTGACATAAGATGATCAAGTCATCGGCAAATTGTAGATGTGACAATCGAACATAATTTTCAGATTCCCCAATAACAAAGCCTTGAAACAGACCCCTGTCAACTGCTTTAGATATCATCAAATTAAGCAGCTCACCTACAATGTTAAACAGTAGCGGAGATAAACTGCACCCTTGCCTAAGTCCTTTGGCCATGGGAAACTCTTCCGATGGAGACCCATTACGAGAACCGAGATTGAAGCTGTTGAAATACACTGAGATATCCACGACAACCATCTCTTACCAAAACCCATCTCTGACATTACTCTGATTAAAATTAGCCATTCCACGGAATCATAAGCCCTACGAAAATCTACTTTGAAGACAACCCCTTTTAACCCTTTTTTCCTCCAGTAATCAATCCCTTCGTTTGCTATAAAAGCACAATCCAGCAACTGTCTCCCCGGTATAAAAGCAAACTGAGAGTAACTAATAATATCACTAACAAAACAACTCAGTCTCTTCGATAGAACTTTTGAAAGGATCTTGTATAAACTGCCTACAAGGCTGATTGGTCTAAATTCCTCTACACTGTCCGGATTAAGCTTCTTCGGAATAAGTGTGATAAAAGCATGGTTTATACCGTGCTCCCATTTCCTTCCAAAATAGAAATCTTCAAAAAATTGCAACACGTGCTCCTTTAAAATCGGCCAGCAGTTTTTAAAGAAACCCATGGTGAAACCATCGGGTCCTGGAGCTTTAGAGCTGTCTGATGAAACTATAGCTTGCCAAATTTCATGTTCTAAGAAGTGCTCTTCAAGCTTCTTAGACTGATCCCCTGATAGCTTAGCAAAATCTAGTAGTAAATGATTTGCTTGTTGAATCTGGGGGTGCATGGAGCAAATTGAATGTTCAACGTGTCTTGGATGAATCAACCACGAATCAAGTTAAGATGCGGTCAGAGGAAGCAGAACGCATGCATAAATCACGCAAGTATGTTATCCGGATGGTTTTCTCATATTCATTGTCTGCCTAAGCAGGCATATTTGTCTCCCCTTTCCCTAATTTACTTAGTTGTTTATGTTTACTTAAGATGATTCAGATCTAGATACACATTCTAGTATGATTGGTTATAAAAGTAGATGTTCTCTTAGCATCTAACATGATGTTAGTAATACTCAATATGTAAAATGACACCTCTTGACATGATATTAGAAGATGATTCTTCACATTAATTTCTCTGCATCCCATCCCATTTTTATTAATGAATTTGGCTGAAATTTAATAATCTACCGAAGAAACAGTAATGACGTTATTGGTATGCATAAATTTAATCTACGAGCCCTTATTTTATGTTTTATAATGAATGCAGTGGAGTGATGTAGTCAAGCCAATTCCTGGAGAAGCAAGCACCACATAATCTTGAGAATTCTTCAGAACTCCTCTATCCTTTTAATCTTTGAGACCTTCCATTACATTTGATGTTTCTGACGTTGAAACTTGCCTTCTATGTTTCAGTTATAAAAATAATAAGCTTTTATCCAATCATCAGTTTCAAATCAATATCATTAAGTTTGATACAAACAACCATTGGATCTTTGAAATCACCTTGTAGACTATTGTTTCTGTCATACCGGTTGTTTTCATGATAGTAGCATACATAATTTTTCTCATGTTGCTTATTTTGAAATCAGAATTGCTAAAGTTTGCACTTTTCTATCTTTTACCGTATTTCTGATGTTTGGTACTTTTTTAAGATTCAGAATGGACACTAGCTGAAAAAGAACAGTCAGAAAGATGTGCATAATGCTCCATATTACAGAGAAAAGTCGAACAATATTAGAAACCCTTCTAATAAGTTCTTTGTTATATTGAATTTTTTCATTTCCTAGTTTGTATTAGAAATTTGGATTCTTCTCGATTATGTTTCATGAAGTGAAGAAGAAACTGTGGCCTTTTGATTTATCTTTTATGTGGTTCATTTTATTAATTTTGTTGTAAAGGTGTTATGATGCTACACTTTTATGTTGCTAATCACTTTTCTAATACGGCTAATTTTATTATTTTCATCTTTTCCTTTTTGGTGTTGATATAGAGCCATTATATTAGACCATGGAAACCCATCTATGAAGAATCAAATCAAGCAATTAGTTGCTGCTGAAGGTAAGTATCTCTTCGTGATATTGTGTTTGCACCCCAACCCCTCTCTTATTCCATACAACGTCTATTTTTGTCTTTTTCTGACATCCACCAATGTAATAAGCATCACAACAAGGGCGTGCCTGGACTTGGGTCTATTTAAGATCTCTTCCTTTGCATATCTTAGAATGTATATTCACATGATTTTCTTTTGGGTAAATATACATTTTGGTACTTGAACTTGGCTTCAAAGTTCAATTTGGCACCTGATTTTGTCCAATTAGGTGTTTGAACTGGGATTGTGTTATACAAGTTATCCCAAATTACGACTCCATTAAAATTTTTAAGGGTTAAGGTTCAGTTTGGTACACGAACTTGGTTTTGTGGTTCAAATAGGTTCTTATGGTTTTTTAACCAATTTGATGCAAGAAGCCAAGTTTAGGTACCAAATTGAACCTTAACCCTTAAAATTTTAATGGTGTTATATTTTGGGTAACTTGTAGTACCAATATATATATATATATATATATATATATAGCTTTTTCTTTTTGTGGTTCTACTCTTATGATGTCCGTTTTATCGAGATGAGATCTTAAAGTTGCTTCTTCAATCATGAAATCCTATAGTAAAGAGGACATTTATTTTTAGCCTTGGGCCTCTCTCACTTTAGGGAAACAGGACTTGCTTGCACAATACCTACTAAAAAATAAAAGACGAAAATGTTTTCACTGAAAGTAATTGTTGGTTGAGAACATTTTAAGATAAAAATATGACAATTTTTAAAGCATGAATGTTCTTTGTCTTCTGTCTCGTGTTTGCAGCTAGTCCATGGAAGTCTCATTTTAAAAAGGAGACCGCTTCTAAGAAGGGTAGAGTTGAGACACCTCAAGGTAAATAATTTGGATTTCATTTAAATAACTGAGTATGAAAATTACCTTTTTCTATTTTTGTTTCTTTTGCACGGTCTCTACAAAATTAATAATATGTGGGAAGTATTGAGATTATACTTTGATTAGTTGCAGTTTGGCATTCTTTCTCTTCTGTTTAAGTTTATTGACAAGTGTTATGGCAATGTATGTATGCACTAGTTGCAGTTGGAGGCCCTCCAAAATCTGGCTACAAATCTGGTTTAATTTCTGCTGCTACTGCAAAGGGAAGACACTCATCTTCACCTTTACCATCTCCACCTGAGCGCTCTGGTTCTGCAGCATCTCCAATTGGAATTGGAAATGCTTCCAAGACTTGTGCAAGCAGTGAGGATGTTATTCCTCCTCGGGTGAAAAGCAAAGAAAATATTTCTTCCAGCTATGAGAAAGAAATTCTAACCAGGGCTACTAGTGTAGTATGTGAAATGCAAGAGCGCAGGGGAGGACCTAAGCCAACCGAATTGCAGAGTCTTCTGATCAGTCTACTGAAGGAAAACCCCAAAGGGATGAGCTCAAAGGCAAGGGCTAGGGTTGACTGAACGATTTAAATTAACTGCCCTTCTTTTGCTATTAGGGCATGTGGTTGGCTGTTACTTTATTTTTTGGGTCATTTTATCTCTTAGCTTCTCTCTCTGTGCAATGGTGGCAGGCCTTGGAGAAAGCTGTTGGTGATACAATTCCAAACTCTGCACGAAAGATTGAACCCATTTTAAAAAAAGTAAGTGATGAATCCTTGATGCAAAGTATTTTTAAGAATAACATGTAAGCTTAAGTCTGTCGAAACGATTTTTTTCTTGAAGGGTGAAAAAGGTGAGATTTTGAAAACCACATTAATTCTTAATTGTCTCTTTTCATTTTAAAAACATATGCGATTTAGAAGACCTCTCGTTTCGAAAAATTTGAATTTCCTTTACGATCGACAAATAAGGTTCGAAGAGTCGCCACCAATCTTTGATTAGGGTGTGATTGGACACCCAAAAATGCGTTGTCATTTTAAATAAAAATTAATTTTAATTAAAACAACAAATTGAGGTCTGCGTTACCAAAATCCGAGTTCGGGAGTCGGTTACGTGTAGGGAAGGATTAGCACCCCCACAACGCCCTAAATCGGTACCTAGTCGATTAATTAACGTCTTTGCAATGAACTTTATAAATTCGAGTTTATTTTGATTCTTGATCCCATAAAGTAAAAATGTAAATTTAAAACATTCAAAAACACTCAAACAAATTAAATTAAAGTTACCAAGTCATTTTAGAAAGATAAAGAATGTTCGATTATTTACAAATATCGAGACCAGATCTTAAAGATATAACAACCTTTTCTCGATATATTTAAATAAACGAACATTTCTTTTTCTCTCGTTCCCAAATTTTAGGTGACGAATCAATTTTTTTGGTTTCACTTTCGGGATACACTTTTATTTTAAAATCATTAAAAGCGGACCTCAAATCAGTTATGACTGCCCACTTCAACAATTTAAATTAAAAGGGTATTACCCTTAGTCCGATTATGTCGTATGGTCGAGTTATGCACAAGAGGATGTCATACAAGTTGTACAGAATGATTTCAAGAAAACTTATACCTAAATAAATACACAAATGAATAAAAATGCCATGTCAAACAAACATAAGGACTGAAATGGAATGAGCCACAAACTTTAAAGTTAAAATCATAAATTCAGCATGAATAAAGGAACAAAATTACTAACATGAAAAATTCAGCCTAGGGATTCAAACGAAACATGCAAAAACATAGAAGCAATATGCCTAAAATAACAAGAACTAAATGACACAACATTTGGGACTGAACTTAAATACACATAAAACTATGAAGATCAAATTAAAAAATAAGATACTCTATTCATGGATTCAAATGAACTAAACCAAATAAATGTATGACTAACTAGGAAATAAATCCACAATTACATGCTGGACCAAAATGTAGACTTACAAAACCGCATAGCAAATGTACAAACATAGAATAATTCAAAATAACTATGTTCAAGGACTAAAATAGAACGTGCCAATACTTGAAGACCAAATGTGCAAACGAAAGAAAATGTATACCATATCATTCAGGACTAAAATAAAATGTACATGAAAGATGAAGTCCAAATTATAAAACAAACAAGACTCGATTGGGACCAAAATGCATGAAACTGAAAAGTTAAATGGCTCAAGCGGTACATAACACAAGATCCTTAAACATCCAAACGACACCGTTTTAGTAATCTAATATATATAACACTTAGGTCTAAAAACTTAACCCTATCTTCATTTGTAACCCTCAGCGCCGCAATGCTCCCTTCTTCTCCCTCTCCATGCGCAGTTCTCACCCCTTAACCCTCTCGGCTGCTCCTCTCTTCTAACTCACAAACTCACACAGCCATCTCTCGACCACTCATCTCCTTGAACCCTGATAACCTAACATCGAGCCAACTCATTTTCTTCACTTCAAACTCCCTAAAAAACGAACACATAAGAGCCTAAACGACTTCCTCCTTTTAACAGCCGAGAGCTCAGCTTTCGATTCCGGCGACAAAGTTCCGATGAGACTCAATCCACTCAGGTAAACGAACCTTTACCTCTCTTTTCTTTTCATTTCATCATTTTTTTTTTGATTTTGGATTCCCGACTGGTTAACGATGATGATGGGTTTTGAAGTTTGTTTGGTTTTTTTTTTTTTTAAAAACAAATCCTATCAGCGATTGTTACTAACGGATTGATTTCCTAACAGGATCGGAGACCCTTCTCCACTACTCTGAATAACCCTAAATAACTAAGGTAATATCCCTAAAACCCTTACCACTTTACTTCTCATTTCATAATTCGTCTATAAACAACATATCAGTAGACAGAGAGAAATCAATACTGAAAATAATCATAAAGCATGAATCGAAAAGAAATGAGGAAAAAAAACCTCTTGTATTGCTTTTATTGTCCTTGAACCGTAAGATTACAGTATTGTTCCTTGTCGCATTCTTCCTGTTACTCTTGAAAAATACCTCCAATTCAAATATTTTCTCTCCTTTGAATATGGACAATTTGTTTTCACGCCTTTTTCTTTTTCTCCCTATATGTGTTTTCTGTTGTTGTTGTTTTTTTTTTTTCGAATGGTCTCTGGTCCTCCTCCTTTTTCTCTCTGATTTCTGATGGTTAAATGCCTCAAAAAAACTGACTCCTTACAGTTTCTTAATTGCTCAAGTAGTGTTCTCCTCCACTACCGATAATGGCTCCTCTTTTGTTAACTGCCTTCTCACGTTTATTTCTGGTTTTTTTTTAACTCCCACTGCTTTCATTTGAAAATGGTAAAGGCCCCAGAAAAATTAAGCATCTACAGCTGCCCCTCTTTGCTCATTGTCGTGTAACGAGAATAGAGCAAAGATCAAAAGATGATCGAATTTGTCTGGTCCTGAGAATGTTACGTCAGGATAAATAAAACTTGAAAAATCTTCAAATGACGAGCCTGCTCCCTATTCCTTCAAGAAGTATAAGACTCGAACAAACTTCATAAAACGTGTCTGCTCTCTATTCATTCAGAGAGTATAAGACTTGAACAATCTTTAATAAAACGGGTCCGCTCTCTATTCCTTCAGAGAGTATAGAACTCGAAAAATCTTCAATAAACAGGTCCGCTCCCTATTCTTTCAGAGAGTATAGGACTCAATCTTCAACAAACGTGTTCGCTCCCTATCCGTTCAGGGAGTATAGAACTCGATCTTCAATAAAACGGGTCCGCTCTCTATTCCTTCAGAGAGTATAGAACTCGAAAAATCTTCAATAAACAGGTCCGCTCCCTATTCATTCAGAGAGTATAGGACTCAATCTTCAACGAACTTGTCCGCTCCCTATTCTTTCAGAGAGTACAGGACTCAATCTTCAACGAACTTGTCCGCTCCCTATTCTTTCAGAGAGTATAGGACTCAATCTTCAACGAACTTGTCCGCTCCCTATTCATTCAGAGAGTATGGGACTCAAACTTCAACGAACTTGTCCGCTCCCTATTCATTCAGAGAGTATAGGACTCAATCTTCAACGAACTTGTCCGCTCCCTATTCATTCAGAGAGTATATGACTCAATCTTCAACAAACGAATTTGCTTCACTACTCTTTCGTGAAGGCTTATAGATGATTTGCTTCGAAGGTCAAACCAGTTATCTTCATCTTGATGCTTTCATATCTTCAATCCTCAACTATCCCTGGGAAACCTGTAGATATTTAAGCCATCATGCGATTATGAATGCCATGATCCTACTCATGCCTAAAATGTATGCAATTATGCAATTCAATGCGTTTTCTTCTTTGAAGGAACTCTATCTCCTTTTGATCTCGATGGAACTCGACTTCATCTTGGGCACAGAACGTTTGACCAGTTCACCCCAGTTGACAATCTCAATTCCATATCTCTCGGCTTAACATGACCTTGACTCCTTTCTTTCTTGAAACCCGCCAGTATCCATGACCAACTTCTTGATTAATGGTAACCTCATTGGGTCATCTTTTAATGGCTGAGATTTTCTTTGAATTTGAGGATTTTAGTTTCCCATGACCACGCAAGCTTACATGTTTAAACCATTGTCAACTTCAGAATACCTGCATTTTCCAAAACCTTTTGCACAATAATACAAAATGATCTCATGTACTTCAAGTTAAGCCATATGTTTTAACCTTTCAAAATAAGATGTTTGCAAAAGGGAAATTATCAAGAAAAGACATCTCTTTATTTGTATAAATACAGAGAATTTTAGGCAACTAAATGGCAAACTTTTAACTGGAAACAATAAAAGAACAAAAGAGTAGGCGTCTTCAAATATCAATAATGCAAATACTTTTGAACTGGCACGCCATTAGAATGTCTCGAATGTAGCTTCTGTCAAAAGGATCTCCAAAATTGTGATGCTTAAGAGTATGAAGCTACTTCTAAACTCCCCAAATCTCTATCATTGGATGCCCTAAACCAGTATTGAATCTCATATGCATTCAATTTCTCTTCTGGTTGTTTTCATCGAGACTCATTAATCTTTAGTCTCATCCTTGATCACCAACTTTCATTGTTACTATCCATATTAGGAGCTCTTTCCACTTCCAAAATTGATTCAGAACCTCCACCATGCGCGAATTCTGAATTTCAAATTCAACTCAAGTCGCCCTTTGCGGGTTTTCAACTTGAGACCTCCTTTGGTTCCAAGACGCCCTTTTCGGGTTTTCGTCTTGAACCCTCCTTTTATTTCTCTTTTTTTTTATTTTTCTCTTTTTATTTTTTTCCATTTTTTCTCTTCTTTTTTTTTCTTTTTTCATTTTTTTTTTCGTTTTTTCCATCATCATTTTTTCTTTTTTCTTCTTCAAGCAAAATATCTCTTAACAGCATCGGAATTCACTGGATATGGTAATTCTGATCCGTCCATTTCAGTTAGGACTAGAGCTCCCCCAGAAAAGGCCTTCTTGACAACATAAGGTCCTTCCCAATTGGGCATCCATTTTCCTCTGAAATCCTTCTGAATAGGCAAAATCCTTTTAAGCACCAAATCTCCCTCATGGAATTCTCGAAGGCGAACTTTCTTACCATGTGCCCGTATCATACGTTTTTGGTACATCTGACCATGACAAATAGCTTTCAATCTCTTTTCTTCAATCAAATTCAACTGGTCATACCTAGCTTGGACCCATTCTGCCTCATCAAGCTTTACCTCTGACAAAATCCGAAGTGAGGGAATTTCC